TATGCTCTTTCTTTGGACAGCCCTAAATTCAGGCCTCTTGTCCCTCAGCCCACAGCCACTTATTCATTTTACTTGTTCACTGCACTCTTGCTTTTCGAGTTATAATGACAGAGGATTTAAAGGAGATCTTTTCAAGGAGGCTTGGAACCTGTCTTTGCCAAGCTGCCTTGTGTCTGAGTCATTACGAATAAGCTGTCCAGAAATCTGTCCACCATGCTCTGTGTTTCTTTTCTCTGCCAACACTGGTGTATCCGTAAGGTACCTGGGAATTGTATGGCCTTAGTGAAAGTCTTGATGACACCACAACTGATCAATCAGTTCAGTACTTACAATGTCAGTGACATCCATGGCACTACCGGTTTCATGAGTCCTGCTGATGAGCCAGACATTGTGCTGCTGAGGTGCATTTCAAAGGTGCAGTAATCTGTACTGCAGGCAGAGAGAGATGATGGGCAGGTGTGTGATGTACATCCAAAGGAGGTTGCTGCTTTGCCTTTACCTTCCTTGCTGGCCAAAGAGGAGCTAGATATGTTTCTATCCTAAGCAAGAAATCAATGTCAGTTGTCTTGTGTACTGTGCAGCATTATTCACTTCTTGTTCAAAAACTTGATAACTGCTCATGTCCTTCAGCCTTGGCTTATGATAAAAAGTGGAAAAAAAAGGTAACCTGATGCCAGAACATCCTTTACATTACCTAATTCCTTCTTTTCCTTCTCCAAGGCTATGAGATGGCAGTCTCCCCTGACACGAAGTATTTCCCTGCTGACTGGCTGGGGGATGAGGTTTCTGGAGCTACCCTGGGAATTGTGGGAATGGGCACCATTGGTTACAAAGTGGCTGAAAGAGCCAAAGCCTTTGAAATGAAGATTTTGTACCACAACAGGAGCCAGAGGTAAAGCTGATTTCAGATCCATGGCACCTCTATTTTGTCACTGCTTTTAAATGTTATTTGTACCTTTCACTGTGCTTTTTATTTAAGTGGCAAAGTACATACACTTGTTTCAAGATGGTCATTAATTTTCCAATTTATACAGAAACAAAGTCAGGAAGGAACAGGCAAGATAGATCTCACTGGTCTCTACATGGGTCAGGGCTCCCTGGTGCTTCCTGTTGTGGTAGTGATTTTGCAATAGACTGAGGAAAGGAGGAAGCTGTCTGGGAGGTCATAGCTCCTGTGACTTGGGAGAGGCTGGGATGCAGGCAGAGACATCTCAATCTTTCAGAACCAGCTGGCAATGAAGAGCTATCTATTTACTGTCTTCTAGATGAGGTGTATGTGCCCTGAGCTCCCATCAGGTTCATTCCATCCTTTTCTTTTGTGGGAATCTGATGAGAGCCAGGCAGTACATGCTCCAGCCTTATCCTGAACCAGATCTAATGCACCAGCAGTTCCTGCAGCGTATGGTTTCAGTGAATCAGCACTGATGCACAGAGCAATTAGGCTGCTGCTGACACAAATTTCTGAAGATTTTACCCCTCTCCTGTCTTGCGGGTTTCCTCAGTAATTTTCATCTGAGTTACTTTTTTGGGGGGAGGGGAATTAATGTCAAACATCAGTCTTGCTTTGGAGTTTGAAAAGAATCCCTGTTACAACACAGTGTCAAACATCAGTCTTGCTTTGGAGTTGGAAAAGAATCCCTGTTACAAACACAATCTGTGACACAAATGCATTTATTTTATGATTTATTCAGTGCATTTACATGGTGATCCTTTCTTACCTTCCATCCCCACAAGTATAGTACTGCACATTTGTGTACAGTTAACTTGGTGTTCTGGGAAACAGCTTAACCTTTGTCTTTACTGAGTTTCAGTCAGATAACCAGCTAACTGTGAAGTGAAGAAAGCAATTAAGAAACATTTTCTCTAATGACGATTTGAACTTTTTCTTGTTGCTTGCTACTGGAGTTTAATTTTGGGCTTTTCCCCTCAGAAAAAAGGAAGAAGAAAGTGCCATTGGAGCTATTTACTGTAAGAAGATAGATGATTTGCTCCAGCAGTCAGATTTTGTGATGCTGGCTGTGAACCTGACTCCACAGACACACAAACTGATTGGGAAGAGGGAGCTGGAGCTGATGAAACCTACTGCTACTCTTATTAATATCAGCAGAGGTAAGGTGCAGAATAAACAAAACTGCATTAAAGTTTGCTGGCATAAAAAGTCCTGGGAAAATCCAACTCTTAACAGAGTCCGTCACTCTGATATTTTCAGTAAATTCTGTTATTACTAGATTATTTAGATACCTGTGGTCATATCTCAGTAAAACATTTAAGTGTTCCCATAATAATGAGAAAGTAAGTTAGTGAACTTGGAGAGTTAGGTCATGTATATTTATATAATCTCCTACTCAAGCTTTTTATTTATTTAATGCAGTGTTGTTGTTAGCATACATTGGGGTGGCACAGTCCACTTTGAAGCCTGGCACTATACTTTGTCTCATGGTGCTAATTCCTGACTGCATATACCCAAACTTCCTCCTCCCACTCCACCATACTCTCTGCTGCTGCTTCTGCATTGTGATCTTGGCTAGCCCTGCTGCTTGCCTGACCCTGTGCCCAAAGGGATGGTGAGAGAACAGTATGGAATATGAACATAAATATATCCTTCTTACGGTAACCTAGGTCTGGTAGTGGATCAGGATGCTCTGGTGGAAGCCCTTCAGAACAAAGTTATTAAGGCAGCTGCTTTGGATGTGACATATCCTGAACCTTTGCCAAGGTAGGACATGTGAAATATGAACAAGTGTGTGTGTGAGGTTCAACTGAGTAAAAGTTTATGAGCATGTGAGAAGTTGCATAATTTTGTTAGTAGGAGCACATGACGTATGTATACTAGGCCTACTGAAGCCACGTTCCCAATCTTTCTGTCCCAGCCAAACAAAATTCACAATGACTCATTTGGAGAATTTGTTACATAAAACCCCACCAAGCTAGGCAGCACTTTGAACTGCTCTGAGTATGCTTGGGTCATGCAATTGTTTTTTTAATTACTATTTTACGTATTTCCCTGGCTGCCTGCAGGTGACAGCAATTGTTTTTTTAATTACTATTTTACATATTTTCCTGGCTGCCTGCAGGTGACGAAATAACATGAATGTGCTGTGAGTGACTAGCTCAGCATATCTTTTCCTTCTCCAGGGATCACCCTTTGCTAAAGCTGAAGAATGTTATAATAACTCCCCACATTGGAAGTGCCACCAAGAAGACACGCCGCATCATGATGGAGGAAACGGTAGAGAGCATCCAGGCAGGCCTTGTGGGTCTTCCTATCCCTCGTGAGGTGTTGCTGTAAAGCAGCCAGCGCTTAATGCTGATGCCATCAGTGTTTATCCTAGCGTGTGGAAACAGTAATTTGATCACTCTCCATGTAATTATCCTGCGAGTGTTATACAGATAAAATGTAAAACGCCGTGGTTTGGTCTATTTAAATAACCAGCAGAAACCCTGTGTGGAAAACTGCAGTACTCAATGAAAAACTTCAGAGTTTTATTCTACTTTCATTGAATGAAGAACTTCAGAGCCTTGCATCAGCCTCATTTATTTCACTCGTGTCTCCTTCCATGTTAACACTGAACTGCAGGACATGTGAATCCTGGCTTAGTGCCACTGAGGAGTCTCCTGGCACAGCCAACCGTGGTCACAGTTGCTCCGACGTCAATCCTGACTTCGGTTTTCCTTTCCCAGACACCTCAGATACCTCGAAGCCTGTGCACAGCTGTGCCTGCACAGAGCTTGGCTTTGCTGCCTTCCCCATCCCGGAACTCAGGCTGGCCCACGCCTGAGGGCAGCTCGGGCTCCCTCCCTCTCTCCTTAGAATCATA